AACAGTGTGTCCACTTAAGTTCGCAGCATATGGGAAACTTTTTTATTATCAATTTTACGAAAAAAAGTTATTCCTTATAAAAGTTTCTGCTTCTTGAAAAAATAATATTAAACTACTAAGACTTGAAATAGCAGGTACAAAGTGGTCAAAAAAAAGAAAAATATACAGGGTGTTATCTAAGTACGGTTCGTAACTTCAGAATGTGATTCCTTACAATATTTTAAGAAAAAAAGTTATCATGAACATGTATCAAAAAATGCGTAGTTTCTGAGATACAGGGTGTCAAAGTTTTAGAAAAAATCGTTTTTTTAGCTCAAAAATCCATTTTCCATTTTTTTTTTTTTTCTCAAATTTGGCAGGTTTGTTTGTGATAACGAAAGGTATCTTTTGACTGTAATATGACTTGCATAATCTAGAAAAAAATATCAAAGGTTTTAAAAAATAGTGACATGCCATTTTTTTTCTATTTTTACCAAAAAATCCTGTATATTTTTCTATTTTCTGACCACCCTATACATGCTATTTCAAGTTTTAATAATTTAATACTATTTTTTCAAGAAGCAGAAACATTTATAAAGAATAACTTTTTTTCGTAAACTTGATACCTAATAAAAAAGTTTCCCATATGCTGCAAACTTAAGTGGACACACTGTAGATAGAAAGCTGAAATTTTCAGCGATTTTTATCCCAGTAGAGGACTACAATCCCAGAAAATTTCAGCTCATTTGGACTTATATTTCCAGAAATAAAATCGTATTAAGCAATATGGGGTGATTTATCAATTTTTCAATTTTTCTGAGTGTCTTTTTTCAAAGATTCTGGCTCCAAATCTCAAAATAATTTAGAAAATGGAGTTTGGTGGATCCCAAAGGATCATTATGACACAAAATTTCAAAACGAAAAAAAATTAAATTTCATTGTTTTAGTATGCAGGTACTGAGATTCGAAGGCTAAGTTCTTCTTTATTATAGTTTTTGATCCACTTCACAATTCCCCAATTTCCTGTAAAAGTTTATTTAGGATTTATTATTTATAAAATTTAAAATTTGCAGTATCTCTAAATTTTTGAATTTTTCGTCGACTTTGTTTCTAAGTTTTTTTTTCTCTTGGCTCTATCTTCTCTAGTTTCAATTATTTCTTTATTTTTAATTTTTTTCTTCGACTCTGCTTCTCTATGAACCTTCTTTTTCCTCCTTCAATTTGTAAATCATTTATTCTTTTTTTTTTCCACTCATTCTATCTTTGCTTCCTCGTTCATGCTTTTTTTCCTGCCCTGTTTCCAGATATTTTCATTGGGGTTTCCCGCACGTTTTTTTTTTATAATTTCATAGCTTTTTCTACGTTTTCTTTGCCTTTGCCAAACTTTCCTAACTCTTTTGTTCTTTCCATGCTATTTTTTTCAGGCTTTTTCCCATCTTATGATTTTCTCTAGATCTTGATTCACTGGAAACATATTTGGTCTATTCTCTGGTTCCTGATTCGCTGAAAAATTGCTCTAGGGCAGCAATCAAGAGCTGATAATAGTTCATGTTTTGATTATTATCAGCTCTTGGCTGTCACTGTAGTATTTTTCCAGTGAATCCAGAGAGAACTATTACCGGCACTTGATTCGCTGGAAAATTACAAAAGTTGGGACTTTACCGGTAATAATCCAAGTTAAAATTTTCTCTGGATCTTGATTCACTGTTTGGACTATTTATTCTCTGGCTTCCAATTCGCTGGAAAATTACTCTAGAGTAACAATCAAGAGCGGTAATAGTCCATATTTTGATTATTATCGGCTTTTGGCTGGAAAATTACAAAGGCTGGGTCTATTACCAGTTCTACATTCCCTGGAAAATTGCTCTAGGAACAATCAAGGAACCAATAATAAGTACTCCAAATTACCGGCTCTCGATTCATTGGAAAATCGCTCTAATGGAAATATAGTGGTATGTAATAATCCAAGTTTTTTTTTTATATTATTTTATATTATTATATATATCCTCTGGCTTTCGATTCGCTAGAAAATTGCTCTAGAGTAACAATCAAAAGCCAGTAATAGTCCATATTTTGATTATTATCAGGTCTTGTCTGTCACTGTAGCATTTTTCCAGGTGAATCCAGAACCAGTAATATTCAAGATTTGAACTATTACCGGCACTCAATTCGCTGGAAAATTTCAAAAGTTGGGATTATTATCAGTTCTCCATTCACTGGAAAATTGCTTTAGGAGCAAATAAGAACCAATAATAGTCCAAATTACCAGCTCTCGATTCGCTGAAAACTTGCACTAGAGTAGCAAATCAAGAGCCAGTAATAATTCATATTTTGATTATTATCGGCTCTTGGCTGTTACTGTAGCATCTTTCCAACAAATTCAGAGACAGTAATATTAAAAATTTGAATTATTACCGGCACTAGATTCGTTGCAGATTTTCAAAACTTGGGACTATTACCAGTTCTCTATTCACTGGAAAACTGCTCTAGGAGCAATCAAGAACCAATAATAATCCAAATAACCGGCTCCCGATTCATTGGAAACTTAATGGCAATCAAGAGTCGGGAGGTAATAATCCAAATTATGATTTTATCTATTTCTTGAAACACTGCGAAAATGTTTGGACTATTCTCTAACTTCCGATTCCCTGGAAAATTACTCTAGAGTAGCAGTCAAGAGCCGGTAATAATCCATATTTTGATTATTATCAGCTTTCGATTGTCACTGTTGCATTCTTCCAGTGAATCCAGAGCCAGTTATATTCAAAATTTGAACTATTGCCAGCACTCGATTCGCTGCAAAATTTCAAAAGTTGGGACTATTATCAGTTTTCCATTCACTGGAAAATTGCTCTAGGAGCAATCAAAAACCAATAATAGTCCAAATTACTGGCTCTCGATTAATTAGAAAATTGTTCTAGGGTAATCAAGAGTCGGCAATAATCTGAACTATGATTTTCTCTGGGTCTTGATTCATTGGGAAAAGGTTTGGACTATTCTTTGGCTTCCGATTCAATGGAAAATGGCTCTAATAGTTTTGCTTTGGAAAAGAAAACCCAAATTCAAGTGCCAGTAATAGACAAACATTGAGAAGAGCAAATGGGAAAAAACTTTAATAATAATTAAGAAATGGAAATAGGAAATTGAGGAAAACTTGAGGAGAGTTTTTTAAGAGTACCTACGAATTTATATATTTTTTCTATTCGAGGCTTTTGAATACAACTCATTTAGAGAAATTTGAAAAGAAAACCCTAATTCAAGAGCCAGGAATAGACAAACATTGAGGAGAACAAATGGGGAAGAAACTTCAATAATAATTGAGAAAGGAAAATAAAAAATTGACGAAAACTTGAGGAGAGTTGTTGAAGAGTACGAATTTGAATATTTTCTCTATTCCAGGGTCTTGAATGCAACTCATTTAGAGAAATTTGAAAAAAGAAAAACCCAAATTCAAGAGCCGGGAATAGACAAACATTGAGGAGAACAAATGAGAAAGAAAATTTAATAATAATTAAGAAATAGACATAAGAAATTGGAGAAAATCATGGAGAATTAGATGAACATAAGAAATTGGTAGCTACCTTATGATTTAGATTTTGGAAAATTTTAAAAGGACATAACTTCTTTTCTATAAAAGATAGAAATCTGAAATTTTCAGCGATGCTTATTCCGTTGTTCTCTGAAAAACTCAGCACATTTGGACTCATAGTTCCAGAAATGAAATAGCGTTTAGGAATTTGTGGTGATTTATCCATTTTTTTTTTTCTGAGTGCCTTTTCTCATAGAATCCGGCTCCAAATCTCAGATTTCAGATTAATTTAGTGTATAGAGTTTGGGGGATCTCAAAGGACCATTAAGACACAAAAGCCCAATAAAAAAAACATGAAATTTTTAGTAGATACTGAGGTAGCTACCTTATGGATCGGATTTTGGAAAACTTTGAAAGGTCATAACTATTTTTCTATTATAAAGTTTGCAGCATATGGGAAACTTTTCTATTATCAATTTTATGAAAAAAAGTTATTCTTTATAAAAGTTTCTGCTGTTTGAAAAAATAATACCTAACTATTAAAACTTCAAATAATAGAAAAATATACAGGGTATTTCCTAAGTACGGTTCGTAATTTCAGGATGTGATTCCTCACAATATTTTAAGAAAAAAAGTTCCTACAAACACGTTTGAGATACACGGTGTCAAAGTTTTAGAAAAAATCGTTTTTTCAGCTCAAAAATCCCTTTTCCATTTTTTTTTTTTTTTTTCATTTTAATGGTTAAATACTATTTTTTCAAGAAGCAGAAACTTTTATAAAGAATAACTTTTTTTCGTAAAATTGATAATAAAAAACTTTCCCATATGCTGCGAACTTAAGTGGACACACTGTATATCACCGTCTATATTTTGGATTATCTACATCAAAACTTCCTTTCAAGGTTGTCAGGAAGAAAACAAAATGTAATAATACGAAACCCCATAAGAGACACAAGAAGACCTTAATTTCGCTTGAGAATAAAATATTATGTTTTGGTTTTATTTTTAATCAGTTGAAATAGATACAAAGATTGCAAAATCTTAAACAAAAACAGCAACAGTAAATAAATACCCTAAAAATTGTTACAAATCAAAACACATTCAAGTTCCTTCCAGGATGCGGCCGCAACACACAAAAAGTACCTATTTTGCGAAAAGATTAGTGATAATTTAATTCCGAAGAGTATATTCGTTGTTCAACGAAAAGAGCTAAGGAAACAAAATGATGTGAAAAGCTGACATTTCGGAAGTAATTTTCCTTCTAGAAACAATAGTGGCCCAGAGTCTGTTTATCTAGCGATAAAACGAGAAAAGAAGTAGGAAAAGGGATTTTGCAAAACGGCCACACGGACACGTCGTGAGAATATCCCAGAACCCTTTGTTTTATTTCGGTCGAGTATCCCCGATGGACTTTTGTGTAATCTGGCTGATAAATAAAATCTACTTTTCGGGTGTTTTGTAGATTACGGACTAGATAATAATTTAAATACAGTATTTTTTTGTTTTGTTTGAACATCATTTATTTGTTCTTGCATCAATTATTAGCGCATTTAATAATGAAACTGCAGAAGTTCCTATTTTCCACAATACAATAGCAAATTTTCCCTGCTACAAGGTGAGTAACAACACTCTTCAATAATACCGCGTCTTTTTCGTGAGAGTACGGAGTTGGCACTCTTTTGGTTCATGTAACCATAATAGTCCAAAGAATAGTCTGGTATTTCATTATTGTATTCATCATAGTCTATAGGTTTAGGACGAAGAATATCCATAACTAAAATTATCATGTTATGGATTAAGAAACAAAACAAAATATTGATAAAGACTACTTACCAGATTTTTTAGAAGGCCCATTGTAAATCCTATTACACAAATTCTGTAACATTTTTTCTAATCTTGGACCACATTCACCTCTTCTAGGATACGATGAAACTTGTAACAAATAAAATACTTGAATTAATAGGATCAACCAAATAAGCTTCATGACTGGAGAAGCTTGGGCTTTATGGGCTCTAAGACAAGAAACTTTCAAGCAGGAAATTACTTTATATATCCAAGATAAAATGAATATTAATGGAAAGTTAATCACCGTGCTAAGATTGTCTTAGACATAGAGGTCATAAATAATTTGAGGTGTCCTCCCCTTGGCCACACTATTTCTTCTAATTATCATATTTAGATTAAAATTGACGTCAGCAGGTATCAATTTTAGAAGTGAAAGAGGAAGTAGGTAAACATCTCTCTGATCCAGAATCTACTAGGCACTAAGTTAATATGATTTTACATTTAAACCTTGTACACGTAATTTCGTTGTAGATGATGGTGAATTTTAGAGTGAGCTTTCGACTTCTTTCCAGTTACGCGGCGAAACTATCTTGTACTATCAACAATTTATAGTTAAAACATTTGTACACTTGCAGTTAGTTGGAAAAATAGGTTATACACTTTAGAGCGGTACAGTTTAATTTGAACAATTTAATTTAAATTTATGAAATTCATAAAATATCCATATTGCTAATTGCTTCTGTGACAACAAATAATTGTTGTTTTTATTGCACTATTGTTGTGATACGCTCACTTTGGACCATATTATCTTATAATTAAAATCTAATTTACTTATATCTTAGGTAAAATTGATTTTTATTACATTCAAAATAGAATGAGAGTCCAAAAGTTATTAAATTTAGATCAATATACAGGGTGGAGCAAAATTAGGGGTCGAACTCTCAATTTAATTCAACATAAAATTGAAATGTGTTAATAGTACGGGATACGAGGCCTATTTCATCAAATCATTTTACACCGTCTTGCATTGTTATCATCAGTTAGATAACATGATGCTGAAACGCACTTGTGCAGGGAAATAGATGGAAGTGGGGGATTTCGCTGAAAAAAATATTTCAGAAAATGTTGTCATAAACAAAGAAAATATATAATTATACAGCGTCTTGCATTTATTTATTGAGTTAATTTGTAGACAAATAAAATTGGATTAACACATGCAAGACGTTTTCATGGAGGTTTTGGAGTTGTAATATTAGATAGAAATTGTCAATTTTTCAGAGGGGTGAAATATCATTTTACACCACTTCATTGTTGATTTAGATTAAAGCATGAATGTAGCTTAGCCACTGGATACTGATGCAAGACGACCTGTGGAGGGATAACGGGCTGCAAGACGGAGGTCAATGTGTTGTTTTATGAAGGAGTGAGAAATCATTTTACACCGTCTTGCACTGGTACTAATGGGAAAAACAGAACACATTGATAAAATTTTTAAAAATACAAGACGTTCTAAATAGAAAAAAAGGACTGCAAGACGGTGATGAAGTTGACTAATTTTGACGTGGGGCAATCCATCAGGTACAAAGGTGAATACTACACTAAATTACAAATTACGCACATTAATTTTAAATATTTTTGCTTTTAACCACGTAGAATAATTCTATTTTGCAAAATTCTCTTAATATTATATATATTTGAATGTCTCTACGGACATCAAATAAGAAAAGGTCGAAAATTGTTCTTTATCTGACAGCTTATAATCATTTAAGTTTTTTTGGGGAGGATATGCCATAACACATAACGGATTGTAATTATTAGCTAAATTTGAGAAAGTTGATTTTAAAGCAGCAAAAAAATGACACTACAAATGATCTGTCTGGAATTGTAAACAGAAATTAAAATTCCAGTATTCAGCAGACTCCCCTGTTGAGCTGCTATGTCAACTGTACTTTTCCATCTGTATGATTTAGAAAAGAATGAACAGTGAACGGTTCAGTAAATAACTCAACAGTTCAGTTAAAAAAGAAAACGGATTTATTAACTTTTTTCCCGGAAAAAACGTCTTGGACTGAGGTATTACCATTTCTTAACATATATTCTTCCGGCGGACATAAGCATGAAGTGGTGTAAAATAATTTTTCACTCCCTCATGAGACAACGCATGGACATCCGTCTTGCAGCCCGTTATCCCATCACAGGATGTCTTGTATCAGTATCCAGTAGCTATTCTACATTCAAGCTTTAATCTAAATCAAAAATGGAGTGTTGTAATAGTATATTACATACCGAGTAGGGAAGTGTTTCATTTCTGTCGAGAGATTTATATAGTCAATCGAGACGCGAAGCGTCGAGATTGACTATTAATCTCGAGACAGAAATGAAAAGTTTCCTCCGAGGTTTGTATACTATTTTATTTGCAAGCACGCCAATTATTATGATTAATCATTCAATTTTTTTATTATTAAAAAAATAAAACAAACATGCCAAAATATGTCATTCACCTGTTTTGACGTTTTTACCTGACATGTTCTCATTGTTGCCAGCAAAGGTAAATAAATTAGAGTGAGGGAAATCGGTGAGGGAAGTCGAATAGGGAAATCGGTGAGGGAAATCGAAGAGGGAAGTGACACAGGTAAAGTGTCACTTTCAAATTTTTAAAAAGTCAGTAATGTCGAGATTACATATATGGTTGCAAATAAAATGATTTTTCACCCCTCTCAAAAATTGACAATTTCCATCTTATATTACATAGCCCCAAAACCCCCATAAAAACGTCTTGCATGTGTTAATCCAATTTTGTTTGTCTACAAATTAACTCAATAAATAAATGCAAGACGGTGTATAATTATATATTTTATTTGCAATCATATATGTAATCTTGTCAATACTGACTTTTTAAAAATTTGGAAGTGACACTTTACCTGTGTCACTTCCCTCTTCGATTTCCCCCACCGATTTCCCTATTCGACTTCCCTCACCGATTTTCCTCAGTCTAATTTATTTATCTTTGCTGGCAACAATGAAAACATGTCAGGTAAAAACGTCAAAGCAGCGAATGACACATTTTGGCATGTTTGTTTTATTTTTATAATATTAAAAAAATTGATTGACTCATAATTCATGGTGTGCTTGCAAATAAAATAGTATACAAACCTCGGAGGGAAGTTTTCATTTCTGTCTCGAGATTATTAGTCAATCTCGACGCTTCGCGTCTCGATTGACTATATAAATCTCTCGACAGTAATGAAACACTTCCCTACTCGGTATGTAATATACTATTCCTTGTTTATAACGACATTTTCTGAAACATTTTTTTCAGCGAAATCCCCTACTCCCATCTATTTTCCTGCACAAGTGCGTTTCAGTACCATGTTATCTAACTGATGATAACAATGCAAGACGGTGTAAAATGATTTGATAAAATAGGCCTCGTATCCCGTACTTACTATACAGGGTAGTCCAACAAGCGCGCCTCGGTCAATAAATAGTAGTCAAACCGTTGAACTTATGGAAAAGTGTTCTGTATAAAAGTTTTAGCATTTCATCTCTGCTATAACCCAAAATTATTTTCAAGTATACAGGGTGTCTCAAAAAAGAGTAATCACAAATTTTATGTTTTTCTTAAATAGAATTCTGTATGTTTTTATGTGGCAAATGAAGCCTCTATATGCTCTGTATTCAACTTTAAAATCGTATTTGAGTTAAATGCAGCGTTGCCAAGTTATCATTTTTCGCAGAAAAAAATGGACCAAAACTTACTTTTTTAAAATCGTCATATCTCCGCCACTGTACAGTAATTTCCTTTAAAAATTGACACGTAATCTGATGTTAGCCTAGTTGCTCCTACATTATCTTCATTTTTCGATTTAAGTATACAGGGTGTCCAAAATATTTGTCTAAACACGTCAATTTTAAAGTCCATTTTAATTCAGTTTTTCAAATACAACATATATATTATTTTTCTATCGAAAAGCTGAAAATGTCCTCTTTCAGCAAATATCATATTTGCTGTATCTATCTCATCAATATTTTGAGATATTAGGATTTTCCCTTAACTTTGCACAAAAAACGGTAAAAAGTAAAGTAATTTGGTAGTTTTAACTGGAAAGTTTTCCGGAAGTTGTTACGGGATTAATTTTCTCCCTAAAATAAAGGTACCTCCATCTACCAATCGAGTCAGTAAGGTTCATAAACACTCACGCAGTTTTCAGGATTTTATTTTCACAGTACCACCTAACAATAATTGTGCTTATTTATTTAAACATTTGACTATAAATAATAACAGTTCCCTGCTTTGGTCCAATTACAGATTTCTGCTTTCCCTTCCTCGATGGTACCATGGTACCCAACCTAAAATTGTGACACTTAAAAATTCCCTATTTGGACACCCATGCTTCCGGAAGGGATAGGTTTTTTTGGGTAGAAAGAGGGCAGCTTTTTGAAGAGCACGTTGTGAGCTTCCTCTCTTAGCGCTTTTGCTGATTTTACCATAAGTTTTGAGTCCCTAATTGGATTTGTGAGTTGCTGAGATTAAAGCATCACAGTGCCACTAGGCAGATTTTTGGTCAAATTTTAAGGGTTTAAACCTCAAACTTAACCGTTTTCCTTTGTGTGCTGTATCTGGAAAAGGTCAAAGTATTTTGGTAAGTTCTCGTTTCCTACTATTTCTCTTTTGCTTACCCTGTGTGAATATATATATTTTCGTTTCAGGCCTTTTTGTTTTCCTCTTATTCTTTTCGTGTTACACTGCTACTGTTGTCTTCACCCTTCATCGAATGCTTGGCATCTCCTTCGACAATCTTAAGTACTGATTGCCCACCAACCACCTCAGAACTCAAGAGGACCTAAATCTCCCCATTACCTGCCAACCAGAAAGATTTTGAAGGTTTCCAGACCTCACTCCAAGTCAGAAGTCATCCTGGTCTCTGTAAGACTGGTAACCAACACGCATTTGAGGATTCAATCTGTAAGTCAGTCTGATCATTTGTGTGTGTTGTCCTGGGTCCTGAAATTATATGGTTACACTCCAGCTGAGATAAAGAGTGACGTTCTGTAGCCAAAATATAAACTTACGTCAGTTTCGCGACGTAGCACTGTTCAGCGAAGCAAGGGCTAAGAAATTCCATAGCTGGATAGAGGCCTATAAT